CACGGCCGTACCTCTAACACATTATCTCTTAGAGACTCAATACCTGCCCGTCCCCAGCCTGCCCTACATGAGGAGACTACCCTTTCGTCGCCTCTTCCCCCTCTCAAACTGCAGGCTGATCTTTCGCCAGGTGAACACTCTCCGTGCCAACCTGGTCCACACCAGTCCTCTCTCTACCCTTGAAGGTGGGCACCTATGCTGTTCCTTGTGCCTCTTGTGAAAAGCAATACTTTGGCGAGACGTGGCTCCAGTTCTCACTAAGTCTCAACATAAGTGTGCTGTATCCAGGGGGGCACAACAGCAACGCCCTCGTTTATCATCAGTGAGGCACAGGCCATCAGATGGACTGGTCAGCGGCGCGAATTGTCTTTCCTTCCGCTGATGTCCACGTCCGCAGACTGGTGGAATCCTCCTCAATAAAGCTGGTGTCTAATTTCAACCTGCACTTTTCTCCTGCCGATAGTCTCCTTGTCTCCCACATCCTCCGCCTTCTTCCTTCTGCCGGCCACCCTATGCATAGTTCGACCGATCTTCCGACCTGGGCTGACCTCCCTTTGCTTCCGTTCGTCTGTCCTCACCTGCCCCGTGTTAGAGCGCAGCCTCTTTTCTCTCTCTCTCTCTCTCTCTCTCTCTCTCTCTCTCTCTCTCTCTCTCTCTCTCTCTCTCTCTCTCTCTCTCTCTCTCTCTCTCTCTCTCTCTCTCTCTCTCTCTCTCTCTCTCTCTCTCTCTCTCTCTCTCTCTCTCTCTCTCTCTCTCTCTCTCTCTCTCTCTCTCTCTCTCTCTCTCTCTCTCTCTCTCTCTCTCTCTCTCTCTCTCTCTCTCTCTCTCTCTCTCTCTCTCTCTCTCTCTCTCTCTCTCTCTCTCTCTCTCTCTCTCTCTCTCTCTCTCTCTCTCTCTCTCTCTCTCTCTCTCTCTCTCTCTCTCTCTCTCTCTCTCTCTCTCTCTCTCTCTCTCTCTCTCTCTCTCTCTCTCTCTCTCTCTCTCTCTCTCTCTCTCTCTCTCTCTCTCTCTCTCTCTCTCTCTCTCTCTCTCTCTCTCTCTCTCTCTCTCTCTCTCTCTCTCTCTCTCTCTCTCTCTCTCTCTCTCTCTCTCTCTCTCTCTCTCTCTCTCTTCTACTCTCTCCCTCCGCATCCCTGTCCCCACCCCCCCCCCCCCCCCCCCCCCCCCCCCCCCCCCCCCCCCCCCTCTCTCTCTCTCTTTGCCCCAAGCGATTACGAAAAACAAGAAAAAAAATAGCTGCTTATACGCATTAAGTATTTTAATGTTTAAAAAAATATTTAGCTGTGAAAGAAGGGGGGGTGGGATACCACTCAATTTCGGTAAACAAACAGTTCCAGGAAATTGCATTTGAAAATATCCAATTAAAAAGTTAACTATAACTAGTAAAGCATGTTTTGTTATTATTATTATTTTTTTTTAAATTTTTTATTTATTTATTTATTTATTTATTTTTTTTTTAAAGAAAATACATATTAATGAAGTTAATTGTTATATATTGTCTACCAATCAGACTCTTTACGCTGTTTACATCGAAGTGGTTGCCAGATTAACAAAATGGGATCTAGCAATTGTAGTGAAATATAATTCCGGATCTCTATATATGTATATATATATTGACATATTTTATATAAAGCTCAATATTAGGAAAATGTATAAATGGATGTGTATTTGAAAGAATATATATTTTTTCTATTGTTTACAGAAAAAACGAAAATGACTTCCGGAAGAATATACTTCGGGAGATTATGTGTTCTCCTATTTATGATCGTGACAACTGCATCCACCGCTAAAATATCTTTGAGGAATTCCAAAGGAAGATATTCAGACTTTAGCAATGTACCAACTTCTTCAAAAACCACTTCTGTATCATCAAACGAAGAAAATCATACACTAAACACTTCAATGGCAAAAGAAAAATATGTCACCTCAAATATATATTCTGTAACAAATTACGATATGTTACCTCCGAAGAATAAATCTTCAGTCCAAATGTCTTATCTAGACTTAGCCTCTTCTGCAACTGAGCTAACATCCTCTGTGGATTCTAGTGGCTCCAGTTTAAGTGAGGAAAAAAACACAACTGACACCAGTACCTCTTCAAGCACGGACACAACCACTTCTTCAAGCTTTTCCACATCATCCTTGGATTCGACCACTTCTTCTCCAACTGAGGACTCCAGCTCCTCTACTGACTCAAGCTCTTCCATAGAAAGCTCTTCAACTTACACCAGCTCTTCTTCAGGCTACTCCTCATCCAGCTCCTCTTTGGAGCCCACCATTTCTTCCACTTTCCCAAGCTCCTCTATGGATTCAACCACGTCCTCCTTCCAATCGACCACTTCTCCAACTGATTCCTCTGTGGATTCAACTACTTCACCTAGCTCCAGCTCCAGCTCCAGCTCCAGCACCAGTGAGGAAACAACCACGTCTTCAATCTCCTCCAGCTCTTCCACACACTCTCCAACTGACACCAGTACCTCTTCAAGCACGGACACAACCA